TGTGATTATAGAATTCCTTTTCAATAACAAAAACATTTATTTTGTCATCAGACCTCTTCTCTCGTTTCATTTTTAGAATTTCGAACGAGTAAGACGTCTATATATACATATAGAGAGAGAGAGAGAGCATAAGAGAGAGAAAACTTTCTTTTGTTCAGAAATGGTTGCAAGTAAGGAGTATGAGTGTGTGTTTCTCAGCTTTTCCTCAAACTTTCTTAATTATATTTCGTTTTTTCGTGTAAAATAAGAGGAATTCCGAATGAAAATTTGTTGGGAATGTCAGTCAAAGGTACAGAAACTACTCTCACAGCCATTGGAATTAGGGAGGGTGAAGCTCTTGCTTGAAAGCTAAAAGACATTTGTGGTAAGACAGATAGAGAGAGAGAGAGGGAGTGAGAGAAGCAAGAAAAACAACAGCAATGAGTTTTATAGTTATTTCGCTAAACTCTTACTATCGAAAACAGGAAAGAGGTCATTTGAGCTTTAATTCTATTGAAAATGAAAGTTCAACAAGTGGTGGAATGGTTGGAATGGTTAGCTGAGTCTATCTATAACTACTAATTATGTCTTTGCATGTGAGATGTGCTTCCAATCTGAGAATATGGGGTTTGAAGAGAAGAGTGAGAGACAGTGAGGACAGAAGCATGGTGGTGAAGAGATGGAGAAAGAGAGGGAAGGAACAATCACACCATTTGGTTGAAAACACATGAGATTTGGCTTGCAGAAGAGCTGAGCCAAACGCAAGCACCAACAACAATAACTGGCACAATAGACAGAGAGTAAGATTTGGAGAGAGAGAAAGAGAGTTAGATGGAGAGAGAGAGTAAAGAGATGAAGGTAAGCTTATAAAATACGAAATGAAAGTTCTTTGTAGTCGAAGGAAAATCATAAAAAAAAATTAAAAATAGTTCTATTCAGCAGCAGACAGAAAGACAGAGTGAAGGGGAGAATAGAGAGAAAGAGAGGACGAGCTGAAAGGACACAACCGTTCCGTCGAGATGAAAATGAAGGAAATGACTTGTTACGTGAAGTTCACGTGACTTCTGCAAATACGTCATTTTCAAATGCAAATTTCGTAATCAGAAATATTAAATTTGGCGTAAATAAGTAGAAGCTTGAATGATGTTGATGAATAACATGGAGAAATCAGATAATGGTGAGTAACATGAGCAATTAGAAGAAACAACTGAATTGTATGACTGCAGGAGGGGGAGGCATGAGAAAAACGACAATGAAAACAACAAATATGTAGAAGAAAGCAAACGGTGAACTATGTAATAAGCTCAAGTTTTTGAGAAATTCAGATGAGAACAGACAATTGAAGGTTGTGAAACAGGATGGAAGGAGGACCAAATAATAATAAAATGAAAAAAGAAGTTCTAAAGTTGCATGCTATCATCTAACAAAAGCTTACAGAGTTACACCTTGTTAGGCTTCTCCGTAATTAAATACTTTTCATTCTGATGAAATATAATGAAACGGAAATCCGTTGGAGAATATGGAATGGAGTAGAAAAAGCATTTGTGAACAAGCAATCCAACAAGCTCATAGATAAGGTGATTGAGGCAAGCTCTGTCTTGCGCAAAACATGTGTGATCGACGATCTTCAAACCTTTAAGAAATGTTTCGAAATGTAAAACTATATTTTATAGAGAAGAATCAGCTTATATATTAAGCTCGTACGCAACTTGGCTTCTGACAGCAGCTGCTGGACAGCTTCAGCTTCAACGCAAATCTTCTAAAGCTTCAAGTAGGTCCCAGTAGGAGGGTATATCATCAATTATGCCCTCAAGGCATGAACAAATCTTGAGTATATATTTGGGAGAAAATCAAACAGTATGTATTCATACGTCATCATGCATTAACAATGTAAATGACGTGAAACATTGCCTGAAGCCTTAGAAATACGTTAAGCTGCAGCTTCAAGTTGTAAATCAAACGCTCTATGCATACAGAGGCACATGGACGTGGTATATGAGTTTATAAATGAAAAATGATGAAACGAACTAAAAGTAATTTCAGTTAAGAGCTTAAACTTCATTCATGTGCGAAGATCTACTCGATTGACAAACGTAAATGAAGCATAGATGATGTTGAGCATCAAAAAACAACACAAAAGTTAATTTTTCGACAAACAACACTGTCGGTAGGCTGTTAAAGCTTATTTGCCCAAGTTTATGTTCAGTGCCACTCAAAAACCAACTGGAGACCTTGAGAATGATTAGTATGGCAGACAACAAGCCTTGTTTACAAAGATCAACTTGAGGGCATGATGCTTTTAATATTTAAATGAATTCCAACAAATTTCTAAAGAAATTTTGAATAGCCACATGTACTCATGAGATATTGGCCTTAGGTTAAGCTCAGACTATATAGTCAAATGAATAGATTGTGTAAAAGCTGGTAAATGAGCTTTTGACATGCTATGGCTTCTATCGGACGGGGCTTTATGCTTGTGTGACATGTGATATTTTAAGAGAAATCGTCTGAATGCGAGAAAAAAAAACGAGTCAAGAGGGTGTCACAGAGAGCTTCGCATAAGTTCCTATTGGATTCTCTTTATAAATTGAATGAAGAGATATTGGAAAGATTATAAGGAGAAAGACAGAGTAACAACGATTACAAGCAAACGAAAAGGGGATAGATAGTAAGAGAGCGGGAGAGAGTTAGCTAGAAGAGAGAGAGATATGCAAAAAAAAGAAAAAAAAAGAGGAAAAGAGAGAAGGAGGAAGAAGGAGAAGGAGGAAGATAAGGAACACAACCGTTCTGCACGCAAGTCTTATGCAAAGTCAAAATCACGTGGAAAATCGGCGCAAACGGAACCACGTGAACTTTCACGTGAAATAAAATTTGAATGTATACAAATGAATAATTGAAACGTTTCACATACTCTTTCCCTCTCTTTATATATATATGAGGGTAAGAGGGAGATAAACAATGCCATTTCTCGAATTTCAGAAAAGTTAACGAAAAAAAGAAGAAAAAAAGAAAATAAAGTTTATCAATCATCGCATTCGATCGTATTTTCAAGATATTTCTCTCGCAGCTTCTCATGCACAACTGACTTTTAAGAAATAAAAAAAGAGAGAGAGAAAGAGAAATAGAGAGGGAGATATGAAGAGAGAGAGAGATAGAGAGAGAGAGAAAAGAAAATATTTTTTCGTATAAGCTTTTAAGATCTATATATTCTGAAATACTGCTGTGCTATCTAAACAGATAGAAACAGATTGACTAGATTTGTTCTTTTGAAGGGTGGGGTGGGGGCGAATAACGTGTAAATGGCTGATCTAATAAATTCACACCTTCTCTGAGGACAACTGACTCTCACTCTCTCTCTATCTTCTATTGCCCTCTCTATCTCCCTCTCTCTCTCTCTATGTATATGTGTGTGTGTGTAATAGTGCCTCAGGCAAATTAGGTATTTAGTATAGAAATGTAATTGAATATGTTCGTTTAAATCACAATTGATTACATGTTCAATGATTTTGTGAATTTTGCATTTGAATTCATAGAAGCGGCCAGTGATGAATGGTTTGAAATACAAAATATTTATTGAATAATTATTAAATAAGATGATTGTAATCTATTGGAAGCTATCAGAGGCTTTCATTGCTTCAACGGCCTCGTCGGCTTGTTTATCTTCAGTGGTCAAATCAACGGCTGTTGGGTTGACAGCATCAGAAGCAGCGAGTCCCAAGAGATCATTCATTTCTTTCTCAACCTTGTCAGCAAGTTTGATACGGAGATTTTGGAGGGAACGTCTTTTACGTCCACCACCTCCACATCCACAACCGCATCCGCATCCTTAAATGAATTCATTATGCTGTTATGCTTTTTATGATGTACCGCAGCATGGACGACAACAGGTGCGGCAGCATGTTCTACAGCAAGTGCAACATCTCGTGCAACAACAGCGACAACAACATCTTTAAAATGTTGAAAGATATGTTTTGGATTAGTATCAGCTACCTTGGACGACAACAGCAGCATCCGCATCCTCCCCCACCTCCTCCTCCACATCCACAACATCCACATCCACAGCCACAGCAACCACAACCGCCGCCGCCTTGTCTTTTCACTCTAGAAGTTAATAATACAAGTCAGAAGCTATATGAGAGGAAATAACAAACCTTGTTTCTCCAAGTGTATCAATAGCAGTTGGAATATCCTGTGAAACTGGTAGAGGAGAAGCTTGAACTAGAGCCATGATGACAAACAAGCCAAATGCACAAACAAGGGTAGAAGAACGAATCATTTTTTGATTTGAGTTGCTCCGATCGAAATCAGCGATATTGCTCATTTATTTTTCTGACTTATATAGCCCGGATCTAATGGACAGTCTGTCAAACATCTTGTTTCCGTTCAGATTTCAACCGGATTCAATTGACATATCTTGTATTTGGTTTGCCACATTTGACCGTTAGCTGCTGTTTCTCTTTTGATTTTTGACGTGAGACTTCTAGATTTCAAACAACATTCTAATCAATCCAGACATTTTCTGAATGATCATTTGGACTCTCACAATGATCTGCCGAAATGAATGATTCTATTCATTACTACACTCCTCCATATCATATTCAACGAGCTGTGAATGACCGGAGTCACTTCCCACTACTTCCTACTTGTCGAAAACAGGAGAAAGTCAACAAACGCATAGTTAGTTGTCTTATGCGTAATCTCCTCTAGTAACTATATCTATCTAATTTGCATGATGATCTTCATTTACTAATAGCATATATATATAATATAAATAGTATATAGTAAAGATGGAAACGGATAGTTTGATAGTAATTCTCTGTTGCACGTGACACGCGTGTCTGTGTACGTGAATGTACGTATGTGTACGTGTATGCATAGTGTATAATGTGATTTATGAAAGTAAACAACCGTTTTCAGCTTCTACAAGTATACGAATAAGAATAATTCACGTGATTCACGTGGAGATCCAATTTACATGCGAACATTGAGAAATTTGGGAATAAGAATGAGAAAAATTAATATTATTTGCTTTCATTCACATTTTCTTCACATTTTCGTTCCTGCTCAGCTTCCTAAAAAAATATTGAAAGTTACGATGAGTAACAAGTTCAAATTGATTGTTACTGGAATTTGTTGTCCAATTTTTTTTGTTAATTTTGCCAACAAAGGAGCTGCTGGATGTCGAAGAGAATCAGCTTGAGAGAATCGTCTTATGTTGGATGGAAGTAAATGAAGAGGATTCGTCTCAATAGTCAATGAGTGACGATGTCTGAAAAATGAACTTATTTATCCATCTAGCACATGAAACGCTTTACCCCATATTAGGAGTTTCTTGTTCTGAAGTCATTCTTGAAGAAGCTGATATTTTCACTGAAATAAATAATGAAATTGTGTGCTGGATGTGAGATGTGAGAATATGTTTTTAAAAATCATAAGTACATGAGAGAGTGAGGAAGACAGACAGAAGTAGAGATAAAGATTCAACAAGATATCTATAGAGAGAGGAGGAAAGAGACGGATGAGGGTTTCATGAAAGTTTATCGACTGCGAATCGCCACAAAAAGTTATTTCTGATAAAACTCATATAACTTGGGAGATTCATAATGAGCTCGTATGTATGAGCCAGTTGTCCACTTCTTCATTTCCTTCTCAGCCTTTTACAGCATCAGGGCATTGCCTCATTCACATCTGATGATGGAAGAAGAAAAAGAAAAGAAAGAGCGTGCTTTCCAAATTTGAACCGTATGCAAGAGTATATTCTGGCAATCATCTTTCTCTCTGTATCTTCCTTCTCTCTCTCTCTCTCTCTCTGTATCTTCCTTCTTTCTCCCTGTCTCTCTCTCTCTCTCTCTCTCTCTCTCTCTCTCTCCGAAGCAAATATCATTTTCGTTCAAACAAATATGATAATTATGTATGTTTATTCAACAAAAAAAGACTTTTTTTCTCTTGGAAACGCGATCAAATGTAGAAAGTGGAAGAAGGAAACTCTGGGTGAGAATTATGAAAAAGCTCTGCTGGATTACCTAGAGGACCATGATGAGCGAATGAGAAAGAAAAGAATGAAGTGACAGGAAATGGAAAGAAGGCGGAAACTTGCTGTTCACGCGGTTAGTGAAGTAATACAGAGAGAATAGAGAGAGGGAGTAAGAGAGAGAAAGAAGGAATAGGAGGGGATGAGATGGGAGGAGTATGAGGGTGTTCCTAATAAAAGAGAGGGAGTAAGGGTACAATTTTTGAAGAAAGAAGCTTCACAGAAGAAGCTCTTGACAGAGGAGACATTGAAGGAGGGACAAAATCCCAAAAAAAACCATTTTCGAACCTATTTTCCTCATAATCCGCCAATGTTAATATCATCTATCTAAATATCAGACTAATTCTATCACATGAGCTAAGAAGAACTCCTAGTTGAGAAATCTTTTTTTCGTTTTTGGCTTTTGTTCCAAAAATTATTGAAAAATGGAGAGAAGACGAAGAAGTATGAATGATATTAGAAGGATTAGGCTAAATCGTATCGTTTACGTCAATGTTTCTAGAATATATCCATATCAGATTGGTAAAATCGTTGAATATTCATGCATACTTCACTTCAACTCTCTGAATTTCAAGAAAAAAGGAAAGTACAGATGGATATGGTGCCTGCCTGCTGAAGGATTGTTGTCTTCTATGCTAACACCACATTTCTTTTGGGAAAAGTTTTTGTCATGCGTATATGTGTCAAGTGTGCAGAAATTTTGGCTAACAAGAGTTGAAGTTCAACACAAAAAACCTTCTTGCCTGGACGCTGACAGCAGCTTGTAAGCTGCGGACAAGAGCCATCTATAGAATGAAAGCCTGGCCAAAATAACAATTTTTATAAAATGAAAACATTATTTGCTATAATCAGAAGAAGTCGTCTTCTCTTTCTATCTCTATCATTCTCTGTGTGAAGGAAAAGAAAAAAAGCTGATGGTATGATGATTGAGAGAGAAAAGAAAATTAAATAAAAAGGAAAAGAAAGTGAGAGGGTGAGGAAGACAGAGAGTAAGTTCAGAGACTCAGATATAACTTGTTGTTGATTAGAAAAGACAAAATAGCCGTATGACATGCATTTGAGCGAAGTTTGTTATATTAGGCTTTATATTGAAAAACATCGTTAGTTGGAGAGTTCAAGAAACATATTTCAAAGAGTTTTTCCACTTTTTTTCAGATTCCGTTAAGATCAAAGAGGCGAGAGACAGTGAGAGAGCGAGAGAGGGGGAGAGAGGGAATGATTGACTTCTTCATGTATTAATCTTATACCTTTTACATTTTCAGCACTTGTTAGGAAGAAAGTTGACAATGGCTTTGTGTCTGTCTTTTGTTAAACGGCCCTTAGAAGCTTTTCAAGTCAATTCTTTCAAATATTTTTTGTTCCTCTGTCCTTTTCGTTACAAGATACAACATTGGGTGAGAACTCACTGGCGGTATTCGAATAAATATTATTTTAATCATATTTCCGAAATTAAAAGAACTTTGTAAGGAAATAGCCAAAATATGCTCTAAACATTCACAAAGACATCATAACTTGGAGAGAGAGAGAGAGAGAGAGAGAGAGAGAGAGAGAGAGAGAGAGAGATTGAATTGGACGACGAAAATGAAAAGTTGAACTTGTTCACCATTAAGATCAATCAGATTCTGTTCCTGGTCGTAGGAAAAGTAAAGTTAAAGGTCAACTGATTGGATGCAAATACCAATAAAGAGATTTGGATAAGTCGTGAGCCAATATGTAAAAGACGTTTTCGACTGGAATAGTTCAATGAGGAAAGCTTAGGATGAAAATGAAGATGAAGAAGCCTTCATCAATTTAGATATAAATAATATTTTTGATTAATGACCATAAGAGATTATCATCAATAAGTATTAGTAGGCTTCTAATAGCAAACATTAGAGTATAGATTATTCGTTTAACTTCCAAGAGGTTAGAGATTAGAGATGATGGACGCGATTAAGACAATGATAAAATGGGAATGAGTGCCTATGTTTTCCTTCAAACGTTACAACAATTGTGAGCCAGGGCTGCATATGTCCAAAAGAAATATGGAAATTAGTCGTAAATGCTGCACATTTGCCAGAAAAGTCGATTATATATAAATATCTTATGAAAAATGAACTCAAAATAGTATCGCAATGAACGTGACTTGCCATTTATAATCAAAATCTCTCCGACAGTTGCTCATACATATGGAAAATGAGTTGAGTGACAGGTCGGAAAGACAAAGCTCATATATGGAGTAACGCGGAATACTTCAATGAGCCCGAGGCTACTGCCTCCAATATTGATACGTGGATTTAGCATAATAAGAGTTCGGTTGCTCTTTTTGGCGCTCAAATGTCTGGTTAATTGAATAAAAAATGCTAATGACGCTCATTTCAAATAGTGCGTGGCGCATGAGCGGTTGGTTCTCTGACTTTTCCGGACTGCAAGGTAAGTTGTTTTTACTATTTCCACTTTTCTTCTCCCATTCATGTTTTCAATAATATCCATCGTTCATTAGTATTCTAAGGCCAATATTAATATCTGAGAATCATATATTTTTGGAGGATTACGCCTAAAATAGAAACACTGAACGAATAGTCAATGAGATTACTCGACACACATTGTGCTCAGCTGTTTTTATGAATTTATTAAAACTAAAATACTTAAATTTTGATTAATGTTTAAAGGGTGAAAAGTGAGATATTGTTAACGAGAAAAGCGTATCACAATACTGTCTGAAAATATAAATAAGGCAAGGCGCTAAAGCCGCCAGACCGATATCACAATGATGGAATCTAAATTGAGTTCTAGAGGTTAGCATATTAATATCAATATGTTGGATTTCTTTTAAGGCCATATGACTAGAAAGAATGTCAGAATCGTTTTAAAGAGTCACCGGAAGTTAATAGCTGCTGTAAATACATGAAGGAATGAAAGATATGATTCTAAATTTTGGCGCTATTCTGGCTGGGTAACATGCTTGATGGTTATAAACAAATATACATAATCTCTACATATTAGGAAACTCCCCTAAGGCACATTAATACATGAAGTGCCAATTCGTGAGAATAGGGCTTATGCTTCCCAATTTAGACACTTCTTCCGTTCTCAGAAGTTTCTCCATTTTGAGTCGACAGAATGTTCGCTATGAAAACAGCTAAGTCTTGATTAGTCCAATAGCTGAAATGACTTTTGAGGACAGACCAATAAGACTTCTCGGTAATGGCAGGCTGTAAACGATAAGTAATAGAACATGTACTTTTACTCGAGACTAACTTGAAGTTGGAAGTCAATTCTATGCGATGGACGACATTTGCTTGAAAGGATTTGTTCAGCAATTGGGATATCACACTAGAATAGCTTGAATGACAATAAACTGGATAGTTCAAACCTCAGCTTCTTTAGCTTGTTCAACTGGTGGTTCTGGGGTGCCAGCGGCTGTTTTCTTACTGCTGGAAGCAAATGTGAACCAGCTCTTTTTAGCAGGTTTCTCAGCCTCTCCCAGAGGAGATATTGAGCGCGGTGATGAGTCTGAGATATAGATCACTAAGGTATGTGATTTTAGAGAACTAACGTCCACTACGCCCATCGTCCGAATCGCATTCATCTTCCTCATCGAAATCATCGTCTCCACTACGAATTTCATTCTTAAGAGACCCCTTATCGTCGTTAGCAGATTTCTTGGACATGTTCTTCATTTTCTTAAGATAGGTCTTGTAGACTTCCAGAGGCAATTCACCGTAGTCTTTCTTCCCTGAATGAAGAGTAGGATAGGCTCACGAGGGACTGTTACCTCTTAAATCGCTGAAAGCGAAAAGCTTGATCGGACGAATGTTTTTCCACTCGGCGGCAAACATAGGCTCCAAACGGTAAGCGACGGGATCGTAAGGATGGAAAATATTGAAGATACGTTCAACCTTAAGAAAGAATGAGACTGGCTCGAGTAGATAAACTTACATTCAGTCGCTGAGGTTGAAGGTCTACATAAGTGGCACCTCGCATTACCAAGAAAACTCCGAGAGGACTGCCAACCGCGAAGAAGAATTTGACCTGAAATATCGAGATTCAGTGATGAAATGTGTGAAAATAAAACTTTGAATTGCAACTGTTCATTACTGTTCACTAAAAGGTCTTTGATGCCACCATCAAGTCTCTCATGAAGATCTTCTCGAGCAGCTTGATAAGCTTTCATAGACGAAGCACTGGACTCATCTTCACATTTCGACAAATGAGTGTCCTGAAAAATGTGTATGAGGAGAATAGTATGTGAAAGAGACTCACAATGGCCTCAGTTACGCATTTATCATAGAGTAAGAGTGGGGACCAATTAATGAGTATATCGTATGCAATAACAGAGCCGAGTGAGTGGGCGAATATGGAAACAGGCCCATTAAAACCCGGATTGTTCTCTTTGAATAACGAATAAACTTTATTCATCTGTTTTGTTACTCCGGCAACGATCTATAACTGCTATTTATGGAAATCATTATGGAAAAGAAAAACCTCTTGTCTATACAACGGACTTTGATAGTACATTATATCCATAGCAGTGCTATTGAGAGCTGTCCTCATGCTACTCATTTTAGGTAGAGTTATTTGATCGGTAATGCCATTATCTGAAAGTACAGATAATTACTGGCAAATTCATCAAATTGTTTCTCTACCTAGGACAAGGCCTGAACGCCATTCGACCGGAAGGAACATAGGTCTAGTGTTTTCATCGTTGAAACTTTTATTCAAGAAATGCAACACTCCATCTTGAACTCTGAAAACAAATAGTTCCTTGACGGTCCCTAGCATTTAGAAGAACTAACTGTTGAGAGTTCTGAGCGATCAAATTTTCATAGCCCTTTTGCCCGATTCCATGAACTACTAAAACAAGATGAGTGATTTCGGGGGGTGAGTCAGACCACTCGGACTCCTTTTCGAAACCACGTCTGAGTGCTTGACTCTTACTCCATGAGATATACCTTTATAGACGCACTTTTCTATTTCGTTATTTCGATATGGTACCTTAGGAAAGCTCCCCTTTTTGGTGTTAAATATATATCAATGACAGAGCTCCAACGAATCTCCATGGACTCCAAATGAAGTTCAGTTAGTTCTGCAAAAACCGGATATCCGATGATCAAACATTGGTAAACTCACGAGGTTTATTACTAGCTTCTTTGGGGGAAAACACCGTCAAGCCCTCCGGGATAAGCTGCCCTCTGAAGTGTTGAATATGATGCTGGTCTATGCTATCAGCCAAAGATGATTCCATGGGTTGCCAATCCTTCAACAGCCAATGAATAAAAGGATTGAAGAAAATAGCTTACAGCCGTGAACCATGTACCGCGACGAACTTCACACGAATCGTCTTTCCAGTATATTGCTTCTATCTTCTTTTCATCTTCTGATAATCTGAAAAAAACACTTTTAATTGATTCCCCCCAAGACGAACCTATAGAATCCTTCCAATACAACAACCATCTGACGTTTCCTGATTTCAAACTCGTCACATAACTCTTCAGCACTTTCATCTAGAGAAACGTTGTGCGATATTCTATATTTGATCTCTAGCATGATAGAATCTCTGCCTGAACAAGTATGCATGGCATGTTAACAGTTTTATTTAAGCACCAACCATTGAATGCTACCCATTTCTCTTGGTCGTTACGTCTGTGGAACCATCTAACTTCCCGACATTTCAATTCGGAGACCTAACAAACATGATGTTATACATGAGGAAAAGACTGATGCATAAGTTTACCACACGCTTTTTTGCTCTAGCTGGAGGAACAGGAGCGGGAGAAAGCACAGACTTCTTTGGCGGTAGAGGGGGAGAAGGAGTTTTCGTAGGAGGGGGAGTGGTAGAGGCAGGTTGGGGTAAAGGGGGGTTTTGTCGAGGGACAGGCTCCTGATGAAAAAATAAATTAGAGAACATTAAGCTTCAACAAATACCGGTACAGTGCCGGAATCGGTATCCTCCTTCGGTGTTTCAGTAGGCCTAGACACAGATGTTGTTTCCGGAGGAAGTTCACTGTCAGCATCCATTGTCCCTAAAAATTTGAAATTATTATTTTTTATTAAAACGACATATTATGAGAAGAAAAACAGAAATAAAAACAACAACGAGATGATGAAAAAACAAATAAAATCTAAACTATGTACGCCTAGAAAAGTAAATAAATAGCCAAGATGATAATCTGAAATTCTCTGTTGTTCATTGAACGAGAAGTCTGTAACCTAAGCGGCTTTGTTGGCTGATAGATGTCCATGAGTCTTAGGATGTTCAGCAGCCATCTCCTCATCAATTTCTTCGAGGAAAGTTTCTTGCTTGACAGCATATATCGTGTAATAATAAATTCCGACCTAGATTTGATGGAGGATGAAATGAAAACAACAAAGATGACACGTACCACTAGAAGAATCAGCGCAGAGAATGCAATATGGTTTTTGTAGTTTTTGGCAAAAATTTCTTTGATCCTCTGTTCGTTTACCTAAAAAAGGTGCATCAGGGTGAGAGGAGAGAGAATTTCTCCCAACCTGTTCGAATTGTTTGGCAAAGCGTTTCTGTGCGCGTGGAAGATCCTCAATGTCCACCGTTTCCAGCATATCGTCATCTTTCTTTTTTTGTACAGCTGGAAGAGTAGAACTTAATGCAAAAGAAGAAAAGTATAAAAGATTACCGCCAGATGCCGTTGTTGTGGGTGTCGTAGTTGCTCGTCGAAGGGAATAACGGAGCAAGCTGCGCGAGTTCTGGAGAACTGCTCTGGGCAGCATATCTAAATAACAAAACAAAAAAAATCAAAGAGAAAAACAAGTCAGAAAGAGGAAGATATGAAATGGGCTACGAACCCATCTTCGAAGTATATCTCAAACACATTTTATCTTTTATAAATGTCACAAGTCAACAGAAGATCAAATCAACAACAGAAGAAGTACAACAATAAAAAAAACAAAAATTTCAAACTAAGCAAATCCTTCGGCTATATTGTCACCGAATTTATCTTGTAACAACTGCACAACTTTACCACATTGATTTTCAACATTCTCGTTTTCATCTGAAAAAATTGATTTTGAGAGTGAATCAGTGTTAGTGTCTCACCTTCTAACAATTCCGATAAGTAAGGCATAACAAGTGGAAGGTGAGGAGCAATACTGTCTCCAATTTTATCAAAGAGAGCTTCCACCACAAGCAAGGTACGATAACGAATCTTAATAGAGAGGATCAAGAAGGATTATCATCTTCATACAAACCTTGGGACGATTATTCCTGGTCTTCATAAGAACTTTGTTCAACAACTCTGGGAATGTATCTATAGTAGCTTCAGAAACTCTGGAACGAACAGTGATACATATACGACAAGAGGGGAAACTATTACCTATACAAAGCTTCAGCCAGATAAGGTACACATCGTTTCTCATGCCCAGCTATCTTGGTATTGGCCAATTCTTCCACAAGTGGATCAATAAGCGATTCAGCCCGCTCTCTGCAAGATTCAAAATCAAATTTGTAAAAATCGAAGTTATCGTACGTGCTGAGGAAGTGAGTGTGTCGTCCATAGTTGCCTATGAAGTCCAAAACTTGTGTGATCAGATAATCAGCTTCAACCCCTTCTATTGTGTGTTTTTTGCCGTTGAAAATTAATTGAGTAGTATCAACGGCCGCAGATGCGTTGCTTTGTTTCAAAATTGCATTTCCAATATCAATTAGTTTAGAGAAGTATGGGGTGGCAAGGGAGTTGTATGATTGATAGAAGCTGAAAGCAGGTCACAAATTATTGAAAACGAAAACAGAACCAAACTGATTAGCGAAGCTGAATAATGTTATCAATCTGACTTTAAGATTGATGTCATTAGATGTAAGGCCAGTCTCCGCCCATTGAATGATAATGTTGATGAAGGGGCGAATTTCGTTTTCACTAAGGATGTCAACCATTTTCACAAGTGCAGAGAAAATGGATAGTTCCACGTTGCATACATTCTCAAATTGCTGTAAAACAATATATTTAACCATATTTACACTTGTTCTAACCTCTGGTGTCCTGACCAGCGATCTGTGTTCCAATGCTTTCAAGATTACTGTTTCAACTAATTCCGATTTGATGCGACAAACAGCTTCACGATTTTTCATTGTGAAGAAACCACGGAGTACGGCGAACACAGCATGGAGACACTTCTTAAAACGATAGTTATTTTATGAAGCAGATCGATTCAAAACAAAACCTCTTCTTTAATCAATTGCACAACAGCGCCACCGAATTGTACAGGAAGCACACGTGGCTCAATTTGTTGCAAAGCTGAGCGAACTAAGGACAAGCGATGATGAATGCTCGCCTTATTGTTTGCTGTATTATTTTTATTTCCCAGGAGAATACTAGCTATTCCGCCTTCACCGTCAGCATCCCAGAATCTACGATCAAAAAGTGAGAATAGAGCATTGATTTTCTCACCTGGCACATAATCTGGCGAAACAAACGACTACGGATTCCACATGCGATGTTATGAACGCAGAGTATTTATCAAGTACTCTCTGCATACATGTCAGCGCACATATCTTAACAATTTCAACCGTTCTGCACGTTTGCTCCCTAAGCCTACCAATAAAGTGTCACTGCCATGCTTTCTTCCACAGAGAGATTGCTGCCTCACACGTTGTCTCTTATTCAGATTGTTATCCTCTTCTCCAGTTTGCTCCTTCAGAGTACTGGTCAGACAATCATATAACACTTCCAAGCATATTTTCAGGAGTGGCTCGGCAGATAGCATTGTGCATCTCATGTTATGAGAGCTTAAGTGAACAATTTTTGAAAAAAAAACTGATAATGAACTAACCGAACAAGCTCTCCTGCTAACAACAAGACGTTACCAACCATGTATTCATCCAGCGTCTGCCATTGTGAAGCCTGCAACACACGTTATGAATTATTTGACTGAGTTATACTTACAGTCTCTGTGCATTTCTCCATTGTAATAGTGAGTACATTGGATTCGGATTGAACTGGTAGCCGTTTCGCAACCAGTTTGAGACTGAAAGCGGCGTTTTGACACAGCAAGATCTGTATAAACATATGCATGAGCAAATTATACAAATCAAACTCACGGATTCAGCCTTTGATCGATGTGGAGCGATCCATTGATTAAGAACAGAAGCCAGCTGTACGAGATGCTCTTCGTTGATGCCACCATCAGAGAAGAAGTATCCATCCTGCATGAGCTTGAGATTTGCCAATTGCAGAGCTTTCTCTCTAATTTGAGAATCAGCTTTTTCATCTTGAAGAACTTCAGCAATGAGTTTAGCAGCTACGCCACCAGGCAGCAAATGTCTCAGCTGGGCAGAAAAATATGGTTACATAGAGAGAAGATAGAGTTACCTTATCCGAAATTATTTCGGCCTTTGTTTGTAAAGCAACCCAGTAACGAACAGTCTGAGGATCACCATTTTGTTCTATGGCAACACATTCCTAATGAAGTATAGTACAAAACTCGTCGACAAAGGGTTTCTTACTTTTTGTATGAACACATCCAAATCTACAGATGTTATCATCAGTCGCTTACTTATGGGCAGGAGAATAGTATAGAGAGTGTTATCATCGCACTTGGCGAGCTACAACAAGAACAAGATTAAATAGAATAAAAGTGATGCTTCCATACTGTTTCATACAGGTTGCGTTGACTCAGAATCTTCACTACCAGACCGATAATTACGAAACGGAAATGTCTCAGCTTGGGTAAGGAATACTTCATTCTAATTAAATGAGCTGTTCGTTATCAAATCATTGAATGAATCAAACCTGTCGAAAATTTCATTGTCTAACCTGGCCGATTCCTTCTTACTATTAGCATCACCAGACATACGAATAACAAATTGCATTAAATCGAAAATGGCGATCAGCTGTACAAATAAATAGCAAATGGTATATCATACGCATGTACCTGATCTGATGGACCCATGTCAATACAAAGTTCGAGAGCTATATCCTCAAAAGCGTCGTTATCAACAGCTTTTTTGCCAGCATCGGTAGCAGATCTTTGCCACTTAGCGCACAAACTGTAATCTGTATAATGAAGATAAATTTGGGAAACTCACCCTTCCAAGAGGACACTCGTCACAATCCAGGTATTCTCGACTCCGATTGCACGAGAAATTGCTTTTGCCATACGACTACGACGATGAGCAGGTATATCAGAAGCGGAAGAAGCAAATATCCGAGTAACTCCGATTAGTTGCATTATGATAGCATCCTATAATTTAATATGTTCACGGATACTTAGTATTGTCTTACGCGATTCCTGTTCTTGGATGGAGCTATCACAGCAACGAACAAAGCTTCCAATGTACTCTCAATGATACTCAAAGTCAACTCATTATCCTTGCGCAATAGACCACTACCCATGAAAGTAAAAACGGCCATAACATGTGAAGTAACCGAACACTGGAAACGGAATGAGTACTCTGTTATTAAATGACAGTATTACCGGGTCTAGTTTGACGGCCGCAGTTAACAACTTCAAGGAATCACGAAGAATGTGATGACTGTGAGTGTTACGCATGATCTCAACAACGTATTCCATTTGAAGATCAGCCACGGTAACCTTGTATTTCCCTAAAAGGGGATAATTTCAAAAAATCAATAGTAACCTTACCTGGATCAGACAAAATACGGCACAAAATTCCAATGGCTAACTGTTGGCTGAAAAACTGTTGTTGGCCATCGGCAGCAGCATCAACTCTGCAAGAAGCGAAATGCACTCATTTCAACGATTTCTTCTTACTCTTTAACGACTTCGAAAAGTGCGTTGATAATCTTCGCACCAATTGGTAACTTGGGAGTAATGTTGAGGAGTTCGAGAACAAACTGTTGACGCTTTTCGAACTTCTCTCGGGGTTCTCCTTCGAAAGCCTAGAAAGATTTTGTTACACCTTTAACGACGTAGGAATCATACTTTTCTGATATCGTCCATGTTGCTTTGTGAGGTTCTTGCTTTCTTGCTTGGAGCTTCGTTGTTGTCGTAACGAGATAAGAGAGCGACACAGTAAAGCTCGGAAAGTTTCGCTTGAGATAACGCTGACTTCACTTTACTGGAAAGAGTTCCATCGCTTCGCGAGACACATGTTTGAATGATATTGAGAGCAAAATCTTCAACCTCCTCCTCGAGTCTACTTTCGAAATAAGACTTTCTTGAGGCCATTTCATCAAGAGCCCAGTATAACTGAAAGTTATGCTTATCAGAACGTTGAAGAAATGGTAATGTAACGTACGTTCTCAAAATCAGAATTCTTCAACCATTTAATGGCCTTTTTCAGCGGATCACCTGAGAATACTTGACGCTTAGTGAACTCGGAAGTTTTAGCCATTTCATCAGCCTTTTCGTAAGCTGATTTACTTTTCTGGAAAAATACAAATCAGTTGGGTAGTCTGATGAGATTGAAAGAAACCTCAGACTTCTCATCACTTGCGCTCTTCCTGATCGATTCTGAACGGCGTCGGTTTCTTTTCTTCAGAGAACTTTCTTTGGCAAACATCTAGGAAGAAGCGTTACATACAAAGGTCGTTTTGAATGTTACCACAAGTAAATTGTTCAAATCGCAAGTGTCCAGGAAATTACGAATGACTTTCTCATCCCTCGTATTCCATTCAACAACGATTGTGTTGAATTCATTGGAGTGCCTTGATAATAAAGCTAAGCTGTTGTTATGGAACTAATACTCACCTGTTGCACACAGCTTGCAAAACTTTCTTGAACTGCGAAGTGATGACGAACCCTCGTTCAGTTTCTTCCACAATCTGAATAGATTGCAATAAGATGTTTATTGGCATCTAGTTCTACCTTCATCAGATAAGCGGAAGCCTGTTCTCCATTGAGAACATCAGCCTCACCCGTTTGAAGCAAACCATGAAGAGCTGCGTCTTTTTCTTCTTCACTATAGGCATCTGAGGTTACAATAGAGAATAAAGTTTCCCATAACGGTTTCAGGAAAGCTAGCATATCTGTAGTGGCACTCAGACTACGCACCGCAGACCAAAATCCGAGGGTTTGCTCCTTTCGGAAAATTTTGAGCATAGCCCTGCAATTCTTCAATAGATTTGTACTACTTCCTGAACCATTACTTCGAGGAAAACTGCTGTACTCCCTGTTGCTGGCAAAGGACAACGAGCGAAGAGAGATAGCTATCAATCGAGGACTCTTTCATTTTCTGTAAGAAAAGGATTGTGACGTTGAAAGAAATGAACAGTACAATTAACAGGATCTTCACTATTGAATCCACTATATTGCTGGCGAGTTTCACAGTGAGAGAGAGCTGACATATAATCATCAGCGAGGCAAACCGGAAGGACATGATGGAACTCCTGAACTTCATATCAGAAATGAAACAGTGGGATAACTCACTTCAATCCGGAACCGACCAAGGGAATTACTTTAGACAACAACGTATCATCAATTTTAGTATTATCAGTGAGCATTCCTAGCATGATTTTAGCATAAAAAGTAAACAACAGTTGTCCCTTAGCCTCAAGGTATTCCTCTCCAACCAACTAAAAAGAAATTTGAAAGTCTGCAACGGTTGAAGTCCTCACTTGGATTCCTTGATCAATGAGACGGGACATCCGACTCACCAACGAATGGCCACTAGATAAACCATGTTTCACCAACTAAATGACATATAATTCAGGCTTGAGTATAGAATACTTACAATGTTGAATGAAACAGCTGAAGCGTTCTTGTGGAAATGAGCTAAGAATCCCCAGTCCTTTGATGTGGAGAAATTGAAATCTATAAGTGATAGTAACCTTCCATACACATTCGTTTCGTGGAAGGGTAGGAATATGGCCATAACCATTTCGGCATTATAAGAATAAATCTGGAGATCATGTAAAATAACTACTGAAGGAGCAGAAGCTTACTTGATATTTGAATATGAGCCATTCCAATACTTGATGGCAGGCAAAGTGTTGCATATAAGGCATTAGGAGAAACAGGAACTTTTCTATTCTTTTGTTCAATAATTCATTCTCTTCCTACAAACCATTGTGAAGAAAATTTGAATAAATACAACATTACCTTCGATATTAAAGTTCGTTGGAAGTTGAGAGCAGTCTCATCGAAAAACTCAAAGTCTCCTTCAAAAACAGGGTCAAGTTTTCTTAGCTGGTCTAATCCCGTCCATCCTTAACAGACTGTATTTCCCAAAGTCCTCATAACTTCGACAAACCGATTTTGAAAGCTGTTTCCCTATCAATGGTTTGAGCTTCTTTTCTATCGAACAATAAAGACACATGAGCCTTATCAACTGTTAACTGCTTCGACGTTGAGGTGCGTAACGCTTCGAGCTGTTTCGAAAGCGATGTCATTACTCCAGTTACGAGACACAACAGACAACAATCTATAAAGAAGAATCAATTAGGATAATCCATTACTGAAAATAAATAACGAAGAGTAAAGATAAAGCTCCTTTCCCTAGCCTAATGCTTAAAAGTGCAAAATAC